GTAAGGCTATTATACGGTATCCATATTTTAATCGAGAAACAGATAGAGAAAATTATTTTGAAAATCTTCTTTCTCTCTATTTACCGATAAGAAGTCGAAATGAATTGAAAAAACCTTATGAATTGTTTTATGAAATAGGTGAAATATTTGATACTCGACAACAATGTATAAGAAGAGTAAAAGAAGTTGTGTATGAAAATCGAAAAAAATATGAAGCTCATTTGAAACAAACAGATGAAATGGAATCATTATTTAATCAATTCTCAGTAGATATGAAAGACAACGAATGGGCTGAAATTGTTGCTAATAAAGAAAAGAATAATATATGGTCAAGAGAAATTGAACGAGAAGATAATCCCGATTTTAATATTATGCATAAAAGAAAAAAGAAAAATACGTTCATTGACTTGAAGCAAACTTTTGCTACTACACATGAAATAAGACCTTTCTTAGAATCGATGAACTATGAACAACAAGAAGTCTTTTATTATGTTCGAGAATGGTGTACAAAACGTTTACATAATCCTGATGTCGAACCTCTTCGTTTGTTCATTACGGGAGGAGCAGGCACAGGTAAAAGTCATCTTTTAAAATGTCTTCATTACGAAGCAACAAAAATTTTTTCTCGTAAAAAACACTTAGAACCCGATGAGAATATTGACGAGGTTCATACATTGATCACAGCTTTTACTGGTGCAGCAGCTGTCAATGTTGGTGGAGTCACTATTCATAGTGCATTCGGGATTGGCACTCAGTCTAATAGCTTAAATGATCATTTGTCTTGTGATAAACTAAATAGCTATCGATGTAAATTGCATTCTCTCAAATTACTATTTGTTGATGAGGTTTCTCTCATACAAGCAAATCTATGGGGTGCCATGCACTCTCGTCTTACTCAAATTATGGGTATACATTCCAATACAGCTATTTTCGGTAACATTGGAATAATCGCTATTGGTGATTTTTATCAATGTTCACCTGTTGCATCTTCAAGTATTTATTCTTCTTTACTTTGGTCAGATCATTTTGAGTACATCGAACTTAAAATCAATGAAAGACAAAAAACAAATAGTTCTTTTTCACAAATGTTAAATCGCATCCGAAAACTTAAAAGAAAAGAAGATATGAATGAAGAAGATCGTGACTCACTTGAAAAATGTCATCAACGCTATTTGCCTAAGGAATATCATCCAGAATCATTACATTTATTCGCTAAAAATACTCAGGTAGATGCACATAACGAAGAGATGATTGAAAAGATTTGTACCAATATTCGGACATTTTATGAAGTTGATAGCAATGATAAAGAGATAAAACAGAATGAATCTAAACATACAAAAAAAATAAATAAGCCACTACGACTTGCTAAAAATGCTCGAGTAATGATAACTAAAAATATTTGTGTAAATGATGGATTAGCTAATGGTGTAACAGGTCGTATTGTAGAATTTGTAGAAAATAACAATGCACACGTTTCTCATATAATAATCAAATGTGATTTACCTAAAGTTGGACGACTTCATCGAGTTAGCTGTCCACATTGCCATGGACGTGATACAATATGTGTAATAAGAGAAAGTGACAGTATTGATCAACAAAATTTTGATGTACGATCAAAGAAAGCAATAAAACAATTTCCTTTACGTCTTAGTTGGGCAATGACTATACATAAAGCTCAAGGAATAACAGTTGATCAAGTTGTAATTAGTACAAAAGATTTCTTCGGTAGTGGAATGGGATACACAGCATTATCTCGTGTTCGAACTTTAGAAGGTTTATTTCTTATTGATGTGCATTTCAATAAATTCTATTGCAATGAAAATGTTGATAGAGTTCTTTCTCAAATGAAAGAGATGAACAGAAAAGTATCAATTTTCCGAGAATCTCCAGAATTTTTAAACATACTATTTCATAATATTGAAGGATTGAAATGTAATTTCGATGCATTTAGAAGTCATCATGTAACTCAGAAAGCAGATTTGATTTGTTTAACAGAGACTTGGTTAAATAATAACAGCCAAATAGATAAATTCAAAATCAATGGCTATACTCTTATTCATAAATCACGATCATGCTCATTCTCTACAAATCATCCACTTCACTCACAAAAAGGTGGTGGTGTTGGTATCTATTTTCAAGACGGTATGTCTGTCAAGACAATAGATTCAACTGAATATTTAAATCTTGAACATATTACTTTAAAATTAGAAAAAGAAAAAATCATCATAATAGTTTGCTATCGATCACCTCAAGAAGCAAAAAGAAATTTTATAGAAAACCTTATACGTCATTTAAAGCAATTTGATAGTAATGAACGTATATTAATTCTAGGTGACATGAATGAAGATAGTTTTCAAACTAAATCAAAAAATATTGAGAGATCATTGAAAGAGCTAGGTTTTGTAAATACATTCAGACATTTAGCTACTACTAATAGCTTGACAAGTCTTGATTCTGCATATTTGAATTTTGTTCCATGCGAAAAAGAATGCCAACAAGTCATAGAAACCTTTTATAGTTTTCATGAAGCATTGGCTTTATCAATTACTAGTATCAAAGATAAGGTACATAATTATATTGAAACTAAAGATGACAGTGATGAAAGAATGGAAGTAAATTCAAGTCCCGAATCATTATCATCAATCATTACAATTTCTAATCATTCAAACAAACGTAAAAGTACTTCAGTAGGAAAAAAAAATAATAAAAAATTTAAAAATAAAACTCTTGTGCCAGTTATTGATAAGAATAATGATAATGCGAATCATGATCAAAAAAATCCCGATTCAACAAAGATAACTGATGTAAATAAATCTCCAAGCACACGAGAGTTAGAATTCCTCTCAAATCTAAAAGAAACAGTACCACTCAACAACTTAACAATCGGTGATTTCAGATTTCATTCATTAACCGAACAATTAAGAGTTTTAAATCTTCGTACAATAACGATTATTGGTGATGGTAATTGTTTCTTTCGGGCTATATCTGATCAGCTTTTTGGTACTCAAACTTATCATCGTAGATTAAGATCTGATGCAATTACGTATATTAGACGGAATAGTGCTGCATTTGAGTTTTTTGTCAGCGGTGAAGACGATACTATTGATGATTATATTTTTCGCATGAAAAAAAATTATACATATGCAGATCATTTGATTATTATGGCTACAGCTTCTATTTTGAATCAAAATATAATCATTCATGAATATGGTAAACGTCCATTGCTAATACCTGGATCTGATTATATTGATCGACAACTTCACATTTCATATAATCCATATAATCAACACTACGAAAGTGTTAAAGATTTTGATGGAGCTATTCCTATTATGTCCTTTGATGATTTACAATTAACCTAAAATCATTTATTTCTACTTTTTTTTCTCTTTTATTCAAATTTCTTTTATTATTTTTCATGGAATAGGAATTTTATTTCCATTGTTTTGTAGATTGTTGTTCCCTTTACTAACTGTCTTTGAGTTGAATCTTGTAATTTTATTTTATTATTATCATGTAAATTATTATTTGTACATTTTAACTCCAATATTCTTGTATTAGTTGTAAAGTGATTATTTTATTATTTTATTCATTCTTGCAAAAAAAAATTACTCCTTTATTTATTAACTATCATGGACAACGTTACTATTAAAAATTGAACCTTTATTGTTCCAGTCAATAGCAATCTGATAAACTACAAGTGCAGAACAAAATATGCAAACTCATCTGAATACATACATATCATAGTGTTTTTTTTCTTGGGCAATTATAATACAAAATTATTTTATCATTACAAAATTTACATGATTAGTTCAATATATTAATATTTAATAGAATTGCCATTGCTAAGAGAATTGTTAATTTGCTGTATGTACTTATGTTCCACTTTATAAAAGTAAGTTAACTTTTAAAAAAAAATTTTATACGAAAGTTTCCTTGTATTTTAATAACAGTTTATGATAATCTCTGAAAAGCATAATAAACGACAGCAAAATCATTCCATATCATATAATGAGCTTAGTTTAATTAATTTCATGTTTAATGAATCTCCATCATATATTGTTATTTTATATGTATTCGTTTTTGTCTTATAAGATTAAGTTAATAATTTGAAATTATAAGTGCATAAAAAAAACCTGTCATACTGATCATTGGTCTAAAATGAAAAATCAAAATGAATTATAATAAAAAAAATAATGTATTAAAAAAGTCTTCGTTAGCTCTATGTTGATCGTTTCGTGCATAGAAAATTTATTCTATTGCTGTGTATCATTTTCTAAAAACCAAAAGAAAAGAATTCGTTGTTAATAAACAGTTTTAAAAAACAATATTGCGTGGCATACGCGATGAGATAACCAATCAATAGCTTGTTTAGAAATGCATTGTTATCTATTAATAGAGTCATCATAGTAGTGAATTGTATTATGTCTAATTTTCTATTTGTGTTTCATTTATGTTGGCTAGTCCAAGGATAAAATTCATGTATTTATTATTAAAAACATTGAAGATTAATAATGCCTGTAGCACGTGTTATTGTTCAATGTACACTTGTTCGTGGTACTCAATGTCCAAATAATCAATATGGTATACAAATTTACATAGAGTTCAAAATAATTATGAAGATTCCTCGTTTGATATTGATTTATCACAACCAACACATCGTAATGAACGATTGAAAGAAAAATATGATAATTTAGGAAAATTGATATATGCTTACGGTAAATGATTGTTTTGAAAAATATTTTCACTTTTTTTTTGTGTTTTGTGTATTTTAAAGAAGAAACATTATTACCTGAATGTCGTATGACTGAATGGTCACCATGGTCATCATGTTCGGTTAGTTGTGGTCATGGAATAAAAACACGTCGATGTGCTTATTTTATGCCAGAGAAAGCTATTCGTAGTCATTGTAATCAAAGAACCTATGATATGACTTCATGTTATTTGGCATCATGTTTATCATCAATGGCAAATGATAATTCCAAATCATCAAATAATGCAATGTAAATATTCTATGATATTTATTATTAAAATTAATCAAAAAGAGAAATTTGTGTTTTTTTTGTAGGTGGATGGTAAGCGAATGGTCAGCATGGTCACATTGTTGTGTAACATGTGGTACAGGAATGCGCACTCGTTCTCGTACAATGTTACAAGGTCGAGACAATCCTCAATGTCGATTAGAATATCAATTAATGAAAAAAGAAATATGTCATGGAATGAAACCATCATGTGAACAAGGTCGTTTAATAGATATGATAGAAAAAAAAACGTATATGTACGCAACCAATTGAAATTGCTACATGTACACAATTTGAAGGACGTTTTTATTTTAATTTGGATATGAGTAAATGTCTTGCATTTGATTATAGTAGTTGTGGTGCTAATGATAATAATTTTCTTACACGTGATGCATGTGAAGATATATGCAATATTTTATTACGTGGACGAACAAGTTATAATATAGCAAAAAAAAAAAAACAAATTAAAATAATTTTTTTTCTATATAATGAATTTCGTTGTTTAGAGGATGATAAAAATACACGTTCTATGACATTACCATGGTCAGCATGGAGTGCTTGTTCATCTGTTTGTGGACGTGGAACACAAGTTCGAGTGCGTGCATATAAAGTAAAATTTTTAGTTATGGGTTTTTGTTCGGAACCATTAGAAGAATTTCGTGATTGTGAAGTATCTTGTGATTCAGCACAAATGTATTGTTTATCAGATACACGGAAAATAATGATTAAAAGTATGGAAACAGCTGAAAAAAAAACGTATGTTAAAATTAATTTATAAATTTTAAAAAGAAAATATTTCTTTTTTTTTGCTTGTGTACGTAGATAAATGTATGTAACTACTTGAACCAGGTCCATGTACAAAATTTATTGATCGATTCTATTTTGATGTAACAACACGGAAATGTTCAAAATTTCAATATGGTGGATGAAGAGGTATTAATGAAATATTTTCTTATTGCGTGTTTATTAAATCTATCTTTTTTTAATAGGTAATGAAAATAATTTTATGACACAAGATGAATGTGAAGCTATGTGTGATGAAGTTATTCAAGATCATAAATCAAGTATAGTTTTTTTTTCAGACTCATGATCGTTTTTTTTCTTATTTCAATTGTTTGAATTATAATAGTAGTTCATGATCCACGTTGTCTTGTTTCAATGTAGAGTGAATGATCATCATATATGAATGCTACCTGTCATCGACCAGATACACAAATTCGAACAAGAATGTATGCAGATAAACGAGCAGCTATGGCTGCACATTGCACAGAACATTTGGAACAACAATGTGCACTTGACTGTGATAATAATCACTCGAACAATAAACAGAAAGAAATGATGATGATGAGTTAGTTTAAATGAAGAAAAACAATATATTTAAAGATAAATACATTAATTTGATTTAGATATGCCAAAAGCAGTTCATCAACCTTGTCATCCATGTTGTGCATGTGATGAAGCTAAATTTCAATTTACATTTCAAGGTCTTTGATCAAAACAATCACATCAAAAAGATTGGTCACCTGGTAGAAATATTTCTAGAGAAATTTGATATATTTTTTTTCTTATTTTTAGAACATCTTCTTCATTGGTCTATGGCTGCACATTGCACAGAACATTTGGAACAACAATGTGCACTTGACTGTGATAATAATCACTCGAACAATAAACAGAAAGAAATGATGATGATGAGTTAGTTTAAATGAAGAAAAAC